CATTATTTGTGCAGAAGTAAAATTTGGGAAAAACATAAACACCAAATTTATGGTATGTTCCAGTACATTTCAAGTAAAACTCAAGTAAAGTAACCTTGAGTTTAAAGTTCCACAAGAAAATTTTCGAATAAATGAGAGCAGCTGAGAGAGCGTAACATCCCTGTCGAAATTTCAAAATATTACACAGACTTTACTCGTACATTTTATTTGAAAAAAAATTTATGTTGATGTGTGAATCAGCTGTTTTGGTTTGAATTTAAATTTTTGTATTGTTTATTTGCACGGCTGTGGTGGTCTCAACAGATTTTACACAAAGCTGTTCCATGAAAATCCGTGTAAAGAGCGTAAATTTATTTGTGTTAAGGTCTCAGTATGTAGTTTACTTGTGTTTTATTTGAGTTTTACTAGGAGTAACTCATGGAACAGAACTATCATATATGCGAACTAAATATTTTGTGAAAGTAGTTAAAATTGTGGATGTTTGATAAATTTGACATTTGAATTGGAATGAACGGCGTTTGAATTGATGTTCTTTTGATATCAGATGTTATACGGCGTTTACATTGGCGGAAAATGGCTCATTTTGGTCAAAAATCGAAAATGAGTATCGAATGGCTCATTTTTGCATATAAAATTTCAAGCACAAAATGAGCAATTTTCTCACATTCTGTATGAATGACGTTCGAATGCATTCCACATATGTTCCAAATGCAAAGGAATCTATTGAACATACCCTAAATGAAAGCTCTTCATGGCATTTTGACAGTTTGTAAAAGCTGTTTTGACATATTTACAAAAAAAGATAAACAAATGTTTAGTAGTTTTATTTCAGTTTGAATTGTTACCATGAGAACGAATGAAATACAACGAATGTAAACACTTTCAAATGAGTCATTCAAAATGAGCCATTTTCGGCCAATGTAAACGCCGTATTAGTTTAAAATTTTTGCCTGCTAAAATTTCAATCAAAACTGTCGTCTGAATCCAAATATTTTAATATCGAAATAAATGAGTACACAGACTTTTGTATGCTTTTGGAATTTGATCAACTCCTGAAATGAAACTTTTATATGAAATTATATGGAAATTATATGCAACAGTATCTATATTATAATTTAATATATAATTTTCTATTTCAACCATTCTATGGGTTTCTATTTAGATACCCAAATTTTATAATTTTGTCTCAAATTGTTGGAATGCCTTAAAACAATGACGTCACCTTATTTTATATTAAGGTATTTGGTAACATTGGTTGCGCATTGAACGCAGTAAATGTAAACAAAAAACATGTGATTTACAATTTTCAAATCTCATTTGGATATTTTTATACAAATTTTTTATAGATTTTATATTGATTTTGTCTGCGACACATTTTGCATTAAATGTGCGTTTTATTAAGTTAATTTGTCAATGGACTTAATTAGAAAAACTGTAATTTAGTATAGAAACAGGTAATTCAAATAAATTGGTGTAATTAGAACTGAAGATTTGCTTTAAGAAAAATCATGTTTGATCATAAAAATCTGAGTGAACATTTTAACATGACAAATTACTTTAAAGATTCTCATGTAAGTTAATGCATATATGCGATGCTTTAAATATATATTTATAATTTATATGCAGTTTAAAATATATTTCAATTGAAGAGTGACACTATATTAAACTTATTTGAAATTCAAACCGGCAGCATTTTGATTGATATGAATATGGAATTGTATGATTATTAATGGATTGGATTCATCCTCGTAGTGTGTTTATTTGTACCTGGTGCATTTAGTCAAACTTATCTAAAGTTCTGTTGATTACTAAAGCAAGGACGTAAATCCTCAAATTCAATTATAATTTCCAGGTGATGTGTTTTGAAAGTCTTTTCTGTAAATGTGTATATCAATATAAAATAATACATACATTATTAATAATAAATAAATTCTATTATATATTCTAAGTAGTAATAAAGTAATGTGAAGTA